GTGAGTAAAATGGAGAATATCAATTAATACAATGCATTTCTGTCTGTTAGGCTAAATCCATCAACAAAAATTAGGTAGAACATCACATATCGGTGCGGTTTCGGATCAGGAGGGAGATGCAGGAATTTTTCAAAAGTTTTTCAGTTTTCCCAGGGAATCATTTGTGGATCGTATATTTAGGAAACTGATATTTATGAGTGAGTGAAATGTGGCGCAGCTTGTTTGAATTGAAGGGGACTGTGCCATTCTAGTTTTCAGATGTGAAATCTGTATAATTTAGTTACACATTTTTCTGAAAGTTTCTTTAAAGAACAAATTAAAACAATCATAATAAACTAATTAAAAAAATTTGATATCATATTTAAAAAACAACCGTTGAGTGGAAACCTACTTTGATGCTCAGAGTAGAAATGGTGAGTTCACATAATTCACATTTTGTGACGCCTGCTTCTGTTTGCTGTTTAAATATAATTAAACCACCACTCCCAAACAGTTCTAACAATGCAGATCAGCTGAGTTTTTGCATGTCAAACACTTAAAGAAATAATGCCTCATGATGTCTGTGAATATTCAATGTTAGAGAAATTCTTCAGTTAAAAACCAAAGTTTCAGGGGATTTAAACTTTCAAATATAGATATTGGTTTCTAAAAAGTTCAGTATCAGTTTTGGCTTGACTTAAAAACGTTTATTTAAAATTGTCTATGATGACATAATGCCTGGCTGAGCATGTCAAGATTTTCTAGACACAAAACAAGGCTCTACTCCGCTCGAACAACAGTCGACGATTTGATGATTCCCAGAACTGCATCAAGAGCCTGAGTGCTGTTACATCATATTCCCTCTGTTTATGGCTGCGGCTGCGTGGAGTCAGGGTGGCTCCGCGCTTTACTCTCTCCATCAGTCACCATAAACAGTGGCAGCAGCTCCTCTACCGCTCTACAGCAGCTACACGACACTGCGTGACAAATCCTCGTGCACGGCGCACAGCTATTTTTAATGGGTGATTCTGTCACAGAGGTACCGACAAAGACAGCCAAGATGTTGTGTGATTTCCGAGTTAAAGACTTTGGATCCAACAGATGTGGTACAAGAGCAGTGTCATGCTCATAAATCCCTTTATGTAACAGGTCTGTTGTGAAATCTGCACAGCTGCTGTGTTTTAATGCCCGAGGTCCATCACTACAGATTTGGCCAAAAATCAAAAATTCAATACTTCTTGAAATATATTGCAAGAGTAAGATCGTTATTTGAATAAAGCAAATAAATGAAGACAACAAAAGCCTTTAAAAAAAAACTAAACAGCTCAGTAAGAGGCAACAATGCAACGTGAAAATAGTCAACTTTGGTTGCAAAACAGCCAATCCACACAAAAACAGTAATCTAGCTGGAATTATCTCCACCGTTAACAAAGGTTCATCCTTGTATTACAGCAGCTGCTTCACAAAATGAGTTTAGGCAGAGCCTCTAAAACAAACCGTACTACAAACAATGAAGGCTTGTTTGAACAGCAAACAGACGGTAGTATGGCGCTGAACACAAAACATGGAGGAGTTACAGGTCACTGTTTAAGTTTCGTCCTGTGTCTTTCAATAACATCATATAACACTAAAAAAAAAGCCTGGAGGACAGTTTCACTGCTTCTGAAATGAACCCACATACAGTTCATTCTCAGGATGCATAAAAGCTTTTTTATGTTTCTTTGTGGTTTGAATCGTCAGATTCACACACTTCTGAAATGCTAATTGAAGATTGTATTAAGTAGGACCATATGTCGTTACTGTGATGTCATACCTGCCTTTATTAACACAAAATAAACCCTTCTTCTTACAGTGGATCATTAAATCTGCTGGAGTGAATATTTCTGCAGAGTGTCATGCAACTCAGACTCTGTTCTTGCTCTCACAAAATTCAGATAAAAAATAAAACAGTTGCATCCAGAATAAGAATATAGATTTAAACAAAAACCCAGTATGGCCTGAGCTTCCCAGTCAACAGAAATAACAGGAGTCATAATGAGGCATGTAAGGTTCCTAAGCCCTGACTCTTATCTCCTTCTGTTCAGTGTGACGCAGCCAGAGCAGACAGAAATAGATGCTTCTAAAACTGGAGGCCATCGTCTGATCCTGTGAAGTCTTCAGACCCACTCGGCCAAAATGTGGAAGCGAGAGGTATAAATACTGAAACGGGGTAATTTCTTAAATCAACAGCCTGTTCAGTTTTAGGTATCATTTGCATAAAACTGTGGAACAGATTAATACAGAATTACAACAGTATACCTGACACCTCACACAAAGCAGGCAACACTGGTTTGGTCCTGCAAGTGTTGAGGTTTCAGAGTATTTTATTTGGAGCAACGCAAAAACGTTATATCACGATTATGGTGACCAGAATTATCAGGGTTATCATTATCGCAGCATTTTTTTTAAAATGTGCTTCAATGTGATTAAAAGTAATAAAGTAGATTCACCAGGAATTATATTTCAATAATATATCTATTATCAATAAAGCAAATATCACACACTATCAAATGTGCAACATTTCCATTGAAGAAGGAGGCTTTATTTTGCTAAAGGGGGGATTTTTATCAATGAAAACCTACCATAATGCAGGTTTAAATGAGCACCGCCTTGAATAAGTAAATGTCCTTTCTAACGTTTTCTAGCTGTGGCCAGAGCACTTGCAGCCACAGTTAGCATTTTAATTTCTGCGTGGATCAAACAAGTGGATGATAGACATTTTTTAACCTTTAGATAAACCCAGGCCATGTTTCTTTGTGCTAATTGGCTGCTGCACTGATAAGAATGACATCTGTCTTCTTGTGTTACTCTCATCTCATCTATGGGATTAAATCTGTTTCGGTGTTAAAGATTCATTCACTGGACTTTTGACAGGAAACGGACTTTGCTGATTAAAGATTCATGGCGACCAGCAGGATGATTCAGGGCAAACCAGCACTTTCAGAGCCAATATGTCTGACCTGGCTTCATGGCGACACTGGCCTGACACCGCTCAGACTTGAGGAGGAGGGAGTAAAACACTTGGCTCATAGAGACTGTGGATTTTACAGCCCAGCTGTGTTGCCTCTGCACAGGGAAGTGCTCCACTCTTCAGGCAGCCTCACATTAAATCAACACATTACGACCTGTTTCTCTGTCACTGCACTTGGTGTTACCTTCCCCCTTTACTATCTTTGTCATCACAACTCTCCCGGCTGCCTCTTCTGTCTCTGTGAGTGACTCAGTTTGTACTTTATGTCATGACCCGCAGCGAGGGAAGTCCTGGTTGCTTTTATCTATTACTGCAGCAGAGGTAAGCTCTGGATCTGCACTGGACTCTCTCTCTATGAGGAACATTATCAGTCAAATAACCACAACAGACAGAATAAAATTAGAGATACATTGAATGAAAAATATCAAACTTGACATAACAAAATCTGTATTAATAAATGTTTAAGAAAAGCACAGGGGAATGAACTGCAAACTGTGCCTAAGTAACTAAATTTACACTTATGGAGGATAATTATTTTAGTGTCATGCAGGAAGAACACAACATATATATAGTTGTAACAAACGTGAGCATAAACATGAGTATTCATAGATCCAAAAGACATAGAGCAACATTAGGATTTGGTTGAAGTGGTTGTGTTGGAGAACCTGATGACTGCACGTCCAATATTCACTGTGCTTAAGAAGGGGAAAAAAGCATTTCCTGCTAAATGCTTCATTATGTTCACCAGCTGGTTTCTAACCTTGCCAGGTCTGACTGGTGTTGGTGCTTGGCAGGCCACTTTCAAAAATATTACCATTTGCTGAAAACAGCTGCCTGTTGCTGGAAACAAGAATAACAACATCTGCAAACGCAAAACAAAAACTGTGAGCTGAGAGACAACCTCAGGGGCAACAACAGAGGGTGTGACGATAAAAGAGTTAAAGATTAATAAGGCGTCACACCCTTCATTAAAAAGAAACACTTTCGTCATCTTGCAGTAGAGTCATGGCTGTGAACACATTATTCATCTCTACCTCGATTCATCTCAGGAGGAATCTCCTGGTGTGACATCTCTTTTTGTGACTTCTAAAAGAAATAGATTCACCTCATTAAAACACGACCATGGTTTTATATAGTTGTCACGAACAGCGAGCACACGACTGCTCGCCTGATGCTATTCAAACAGTCGAGTGTTGGTCCAATTAACCTACAATTAATCTGATTTAACTGTGTTTTCAGGACATTTTTCATGGATTATCACCACAGTTTTGTTGTTGTTTACACTGTGTTCATTTACTCATTTCAGTTATCAACAGTGCTGTTGTCTTTTCCTCCACCAATGAGGCTTTTTTTTTCATCAGCATTTGTTCGAAGTTAAAAGGATTTCTAAAAAACCTGCTGAACTGATTTCCATGAACTTTTGTGGAAGGGTGTGAGCCGAGAGAAGCCTCAGGGGCAACAGGGGTGGGGGATGACGCAAGGAGGAACCAGCTAAATTCTGGAGCTGATCCAGATAAAGATATTTTTACTCTATTTAAAGTGGGAATGTTAAAATGACTTGGGAGTCTCCAGCCTGTGCTTATCTGCAGTATTTTACATATTTAAACATTGATTGACTAATGTGGTTCCTGTCGTTATTCATAAATTCATATCTGTATATGAAACTTGTAAAGTTTCATGCTTCAAACCTTGACACATCTCGACACACGTCTGTCTGGATAATGTCAATTACAGTGCTTTTTATTCCTTGCAGTAATTTGTACTAATATTCTTCTGTGACTCTAACTTAGTATTAAATCAGGACAAGTACACAACATTGCAGTATTTTCTGCAACTACACAGTCACAGAATAACAAGTAAACTGCCCCTGTGTGAAGTAACACAACAGATGCTTATTTATCTCTTACTATGAAAACTGACAGTGTGTGTGTGGACTTAGATTCTTATTAAGTGTTAAAGAGACATTCATGTCAAATTCATGTCTTTATTTTTCAGCTTTAGTTTTTCTTATGCATACGAAGTTTTCCCTGATTACAAGTGTACATCACATTTATTACTTTGAGTTATCAGTGGTAATGTTTTGCTTTGTCAAACAAATGCAGAGTAGTGATGGAAAAAAGCAACAATGATTTTCATTATATAAGGTAATGATAAGCATTAGAAAATTAGTAAACACATCGGACTGGATTCCAGAACGTATGTGTGTTTGTGATACAAACAAATGTGTGTTTAATGGCATCAAATAATGTTGGGCAACAAAAGCTGAAGGAGATCATTTGTGGTCAAAACAGCATCATGTCCACAGAACATGGACTCAGCAGCAGTGTGCAGGTTTTGCAGATACTTGGATGTGTATGTTCTAAAAGCTGCACTGAATGTGGACAGACCTTTTTGGATCAGATAGTTTCTGATTAGAACCAAATCTAAATTGTATGTGAGAAACATTCGTGTGTAAATTTAACATTTGACATCACTGCTTTTATACCAACATCTGTTTGTACCTCCCAAAGTAAGGCATCCCAAATTGTTCTACTTTCACATGTGTACCTGAACTTGTGTAAACCTTCATCCAGTCCTATAGTGGTATATGATTACATACAGCCTGAATGTTTCCACTACAGCCAATCAGCAGATGGCTGCAGTAGTTGTGAGTATTTGCAGCCATTGCTTGTTTTCTACTTTACCAAGAAACCTATTGATCGGTGGGCTGATTGCACAGAAGCAGAGAGGAGCTGTGGGGTTGTTGCAGGGGGAATACAAGCATTCATCTTAGCCAGAGGTGTCCAGCTGATTGGGGACATTAGTCCAATCAGGCCTGTGGACACTGGACACCTGTGGTGGGATGAATGACCTGCTTGTAGGAATAAACAACAGCCACTGGCCTATTCACAGAGGGCTGTCAGGAGTAAGAATAGAGGAATGACATGTGCTCTCTCACCTGGATGGGGCATTGTTATGGTATCGTTGGGGCTGCCGGGGCCCACGTTGTATATGACAACTGCAGAGGCGTTGAGGTTGGCGACGTTCCGGATCTTCTCCCTGTAGGTACAGTTTCCCGCAGCCACCAGCGCCACCCATGCGGCGTTGTGAGACACGGGGGGGAACCTGACGTGGGGGTCGCACGCCTGTCTGTCCTGCAGGAGGCTCGGCACCAGCACCAGACCCCGGGCTTCCTTCTTGGGCGAGTGCTCGCCGTAGCGACCGCACTCGGTCTTCTCCGTCCTCACCTCCGCGGTGACGGGGTCCAGGTGCGTGATGTTGACGAAGGCGGTGTACCACTCCTCCTTCTCCGCCACCGTGAAGTCCAGACACAGCAGGTGGACGAAGCAGAGGGAGAGCAGCCACGTCGAGAGAGCCAGACTGCGGCAGGCTCGGATCAGAGACGGGGCCATCGTGCGGGGCTGGCCGGGGACGGACGGCGGACGTCCGGGCGTCCTCCTCCTCCTCCTCGTCGTCGTCTCCCTCCTCTTCCTCAGTGGATCGGCCCGCTGCACCTTCCTCCTGCAAGAGGAGCTACAGGTTGTAGCGGCATGAACGTGGCAGCAGATCCACACACAGAGTCTCGCAGCAGCACCTGCAGGAGCGGACTCCTGTGTTGTTGTTCACCGTCAGCTGTTTCCTCTGCTGCCTCGCGATTGGCTGTCCGCTCATCGACACGTGACCTGGGCGGGGACAAGCTGCCTGTAACGCCCCTGTGGCACGTGGAGGAAATAAAACTCATAACCATGTAAATCACTAAAATACAGGTAATTACCAGGAAAGACTGAAACACATGTTAGATGTTTTGTTGATTTGAGTTTGAATCTTAAGAGTCTTGAAGTTTGCCACCAGAATAATAAAATATTACAATGTTTAAAAGCCCTTTGTGTCAGATTTAGTTGTAAGGGATCATTCCGCAAAAATTCAATATAAAATGACCCTAGTTATGTTTTATCTTTTGGATGAATTGTTGTTTTCTTTTAGCATGAGCCGTTTATATTGATATACTTTATACTAACATCATCCTCTCTGTGGAGGCCCTACTGTTTTCTATACAAACAAACACCTTCTGAGTTGTTATGGCAACTGAAGGAGAGGTTTGAGGTGTGGAAGTTAATGATTTACTAAATAAAGTAGGTAGAGTTTGGTCCATTAAATATCACATCATATATAATATAATATGCCGGACACCAACATCTGAAATGTTACAGTACATGAAGTCAGATGTGAATTTAGAGCGCGCGGAACTCAGATGTCGGAACGAATCGTGCCGCGTTGTGTTTCAGCACGTTCCCATTTCTCCCTCGGACCGTGGTGGCTGCTGCGGTGATCGTCTCTCGGGTAAAAATTGTTCAAACCAGATTCTGAAACCAGATGTGCCGCTCGTGTTTGTCTCTGTGGATCATTAGTGAAGCTGCTGGACGAAGTGAACGCGAAGCGGGTTTAACTCTTCCTCGTTTGGTTGAGTCAGTGTGAGACTGTGAGCAGCTGACGACACGTTACAAACATGTGATGTTCGAGATTTGACTTCACCGACCACACTCACTTTGTACCTACGACACAAAACAATACATCTGACTCGCTCCTCTGTTGCTCACAGGTTAGCTTGTAGCTGCGTGTTCGCCTCAGCAGTTTCCTGTTTACTCCTCGTTGACAGGAAACCTGCAGTAACATCACACCTGTCAGCGCAGTGAGCATCGAACCTGTGGAGCTGAGATGCCCAAGAAGAAAACCGGTGCTCGGAAAAAGGCCGAGAGTCGTAAAGAGCGAGAGAAACAGAGCCGAGCCAACCGAGAACATGTGGATGTGGCCAAACACCCCTGCAACTCCAACATGGTCAGTAGTTAATGCTAATGCTAACACATCTCACACACACACTGTGGTTTGTTTCTCACTCATTTAACTTGGCTGTGATCTGTTTTGCAGGAGTGTGACAAATGTCAGAGGTGAGAAACTGTTTTATTTCATTGAACGTTTGGAAGAAAATTAAAAAAACAAGCAGAGTGATCACTGAGTTAAAACATTTTATTTTTCTCTGGTAGGAAACAGAAGAACAGAGCTTTCTGCTACTTCTGTAACTCGGTGCAGAAGCTGCCTGTCTGTGCACAGTGTGGTGAGTAACTGTGTGTGTGTTGAATCATTCAGTGCAGTTTGTACTGTCAGGTAAAGTTGAACCATTAACTTCATAATAAAAAAGGAAAAACACAAATACAACCAGATCTATTGAACATCATCAAAACATAAAAGCAGATACTGATGTGTCTGTGAAAGGCTCATATATGGTTTCCGTCAGCTCAGACGTGATGTCTGACTGTCTCTGGCTACACAGCACAGGTTAGAACAATCTGTTCACTGTTGGTTTTTATGGGATTTGAGTCTTTAAGTCAAAGATGGAGTAGCACCAGACACGTCCAGGACGACACGTCGAGCTATCCTGACTTGTCGTACTCATGAACAGGTTAAGTTTGGAAAAGTGCTGGATCATACATTTCCCACAATGCACCCTGACCCAGTCTTTTCTTAAACCCTTTCCACTGGGTACTGTTAATGACTTCCAGTATCGGTGCTTCCTGTTTGAATTTTTGTGACACCTTATTCAGTGATTGAATTAAATATTTACTGTTGCAGGCAAAACCAAGTGCATGAAGTCATCAGACTGTGTCATCAAACATCCTGGAATCCACAGCACTGGGATGGCCATGGTGGTAAGATAACAGTGTTTCTGAACTAATACATTCACATGGTATAAGGTGCAGTGACCCGTCCACTCCTGACATCCTGTCTTAAGTTGAAGTTATTAATGTTCACTCAGAGGCCCTTTCTAAAATGTCTTCCTTTTTTTCTTCTGGACCACAAGGGGGCGGTGTGTGACTTCTGTGAAGCTTGGGTTTGCCACGGTAGGAAATGTCTCAGCACTCATGCCTGTGTGTGTCCCCTGACTGATGCAGACTGCATTGAGTGTGAACGTGGTGTCTGGGATCATGGTAAGACACACACACACACACACACACCACACCACAATCAAAATAAAAAAATAAAATAAATAAACCTTTCCACTGTTGTGCTATCACTTTCTGAACAGGAGGCCGGATTTTCCGCTGCTCTTTCTGTCAGAACTTCCTGTGTGAGGACGATCAGTTTGAGCATCAGGCAAGCTGCCAAGTCCTTCAGGCAGAAACATTCAAATGTGAGTCACTGAGATTTGAGCGAGTCATTGAGATTTCCTCTCATGTTGTCATTCATCTGCCTTTCACTGAACAAGTGAAGCACAAATATTCCAGAGAATAATCTGTGGAATCTGTGTGTGCAGGAGAAACAGCTTGTTTGTTTACACTTTGTTTTCCACTTCAGGTGTTTCCTGTAACAGACTGGGACAACACTCCTGTCTGCGCTGTAAGGTGAGAGTGGAAATATATTACTATACTCAATTGGCAGTTTATTAGGTCCACCTATTGTCCTGGACTAAATCCTATCCCCTGTTATTGTGTTGCT